TTAAGATAATTGTGGCTGTCTTCGGTACTGTTGTATAAAGTACTCCCTCTATAATATAACTATGAGATTTGGGTCAGTCAAACTAGTTTAGCTGTGACTATAAATAATATTAATATTTATGTCTCAACTAGGTTTATTATAAAAATATATTTCATAATCAATTTAGTAATGCTTATTTCGTATCACGAAGATTAATATTTTGTTATATAACCTTGATCAAACTTGAAATTGTTTGACACCTCGAAAAGTGAAAATTTTGTGTACATAGCACCACCAACCTTACTATACATATCTATGTTTACTCTAGCAGCACTACTTACAACAATACGTGACAATTTATCATTTAAGGATGCAGTAGCAATGTAGCACACTGATATACCATATGGGCAAGATCTTCAGAGGATAAAGTAGATCACCTTGCTATTTGGTTCCTTGACTTTCATCAGGTGGTGGTCTGTTCCAACTTGATGACGCTACCTTCTCATGTTCTACGAAACTTCATGCCATTCTTCTTCTTCTTCTTCTTCTTCTTCTTCTTCTTCTTCTTCTTGTTTCTTTCTTTCTTCTTCTTCTTGGCCTCCATCTTCACCAATCAATTTGAATCTTCATCAGTTTGATCAAAATCAGGGATGATGATGTTCTCTGGATCAATCTTCGTGTCGGTTCCCATGTTACTAGGGTCGAATGGATTGGTTATAACAACCGAATGCTTCCCAGCAGAGTTGCAAAAAGTACGTTGGCACTTAGATGCGCCTAATACCTGAGCACGCCATGTGTAGCACGCAGAGGAGCTTGATACAACGCCTTTGCGAAAACTGGCCGGGCCTGTTTTAAGGATAGCATAGGGCGGTTTTGGTCAGGTCCATTGGTGACCAACAAGCGCTCGCTCAAGAGGAACCCCGTCGCGGCAAACACATCTTCAATTGCTGTAGCATTGATAGGCTATCTAGAACGCTTTCAATCTCCGCTGAGGCGAAGGAAGAACAACGGATTAAGGTTTGAAAAATGAAGGACAAAAGAGTAGTGGATTGAATTTTGTTATGATTAGGTACCTCAATCGACCGACTGTGGCCCTTTATTTTTATATCATCGTCGAAACTCTTACAAAATCCATGCCAAAATAGAACTTCTAACTTAGACTACACAGTCTTGTCCTTCTAGAGGTGTGCACTTCCCAAAGCCGTGATTTTCTTGTTCGGACTCTAAACTAGATGTTCTATATTGTATTTCGATAATCTTGACAAGAGAAACACTCGCTTGATGTCTATTGTGCAATTTGACAAAGTTCCAAAACGAGCCGGCCGGTTTTCCAGCAAAACCGAAACCGATCAATTATAGGTGCGAACAGTGTTCATTGCTTTGATGGGGACCATAATGCGGCAGTACTCTTTACTGACCGCCGAGTTACTGATTGCCCGGTCTCCGTAGTCCATAGTCCAGGTGACGAACAATAACATTCAGGATGAAGAATTGAAAATACACCAGCGGAACGATATATTTGGATATGGCTCCATTTATCAGGAAGGGTGGCTATCATATTCATATTGAGGCTATGAGGTACGTAACCGTAGGTAGAGCCAGATGGCGCGGGCTGGGATTAAAAAAAAGACAAATATAATGGCGCAGGGGTGATGTTAGTGTCACTAATGAGAACGAAACCTTGTGCAAAGAGTAGCAAAGCTTCCAACCTACGCGGTGAAGGGTGCAGAGCAGCCTGTTTTGTCAATGGAGAGATGACGTACTAGTCCGTACTTAGGATCGGATAGCATCTATGGCCTCGTTTAGATGAGTGTTAGGAATCAGAATTTAGCACTGTAGTATTTTTGTTTGTATTTGATAATTATTATCTAATCATGGTCTAACTAGGCTCAAAAGATCCGTATCGTAATTTACAATCAAACTGTGTAATTAGTTATTTTTTTATCTACATTTAATACTCCATGCATGTGTCCAAAGATTTAATGTGATGGAGAGAGAGCGAAAAAACTTGAAATCTAAACAAGCCTATACTTTCTTGCTCCTGGAAGTCCTGAGCCCTATTACTAATGACAGGAACTAACCAACAGTGCACGTCGATGTCGTGTACTTTGTGACTCACAATGTCGTAGCTCGACTAGAAACGAAAGCTAAGCGCCTGTGTGCCGTTGCTTTCCGCCGCCCGGCACGAAATATCTGCCCGAATCCGCGGTGATTTGGTTATGCCGGCGTGTTCAAGGATAGCCAGAGTACGGCAACAAAAAGCTTCATCGTGTGCGGTTACTACTTTTTGACTCTTGCGCACGATTTGAAAGCAGGTTGTTTTCTGCTCGAATCAGCCGTGGTTAATTTGCTAGCGAGGTTCAGCAAGAGTACTGTAAATTAATTAATTAACCGCAGCAGATGCGAGTGGCCAGAATTGTATACACGTTTAGCAAAAAGGTGTGAAAATTACAGCCACAATCGAAACACGAGTTGCTTATTAGTCGGAAACATAGCATACGTACGCATTGCAACCACTTTTACTGTCGTAGTTGCGTATTGTTTTCGAGGATATGCTGTATGGTTAGGTTTTCTTTTGAGCTCAGGAAATATATATTTCTTTTCAGTTTGGATACTAATATAGGGGCGTAGGTGTGCATATATAGCTTCATTCTCATTTCTCTGGGAATATGAGTTTTAGACCTATACCATTTCTTTTTGAAACATTGACCTATACCATTTCCATCCTTTGTGTGATCGCTATAAGCTCTCCAGGATTATTTTCTGCGTGTTGTTTATATGCAGCGCCCATAATTACTGTTCTTGTTTACAATTTTTTTTCTCACATGGCATTTAATTTGGTCTTAGATTTCGGGAAATGCAAACTTCTTCATAGTTTATCAGAAAGCTAAGGCTTACCGGCCCGGTAATGAAAGGAAGAATATGGTTCTCCCAGTCACTACATGCTTCAAATCACTAGAGTCTAGACTCTAAAGAATAGTTGAGAAGCAAGAATATGGTTCTCCCAGTTATAATTGTGTCCTGTGCATGGATGTGTGGGCACCAAGGAACTCTTGATGAGCATCATCTTTTGTCTCCCCTCTTTGCAAACAATAATGTTTGATGCTTGGTTCACAACTCACAAGTGCCAAAAGATTCATGATTGTCGGTTATCGTTATTAGGGGATACCCAAAGTAAGGAGGTTAGCGTCCACGCTGACTTCTTCTGGATGGCTCGAGACATATTAAAAGGTCTCGAGCGACCCCAAGACCGCGGACTCCGTCTCGCCCGATCCACGGGTGCGGGCTCCGTCTCGCCCAATGTCGCGGGTTCCGTCTCGCCCGACCCCTCGGGTGTGGGTTCCGTCTCGCCCGACCCCGAGGCCGCGGGCTCCGACTCGCCCGACCCCTTGGGTTCGTGCTCCGTCTCGCCCGATCCCAAGGACGCGGATTCCGTCTCGTCCGACGGGGACCCATACCGCCGCCAACCACTCTAGGTCCAAGCATATGGGCCTGGGTCAAAACTCTGACACTAGAAAAGAGGCTGGCACGCCTCGATGTAACCCGTGGCCATGACGGGCCATACCTAGCGATTTACATCAAGAACAGTGTCGTGCGTGCAAGACTGTTCTGCCTAACCCTCGTACGGACGCTGACAGGCGCGTTAGTTCACCACGACGTCCGCCGGGACGGAGTGGGACGCTATGACCGGCAGATGACGCCTACGCATGGCGCCAGTGACGAACATGGCCGCAATGTGAAGCCGTCCCTGTTGATATCTACAGGATCAGCGGGACCCGCATGAAGGAGAAGAAGGACCCGGCGACCCTACAAGCCTTCTTCTCTCTCTTCTCTCTCGTTCTTCTCCTTTTTCTCCACTGTATCCCGTGTTTTTCCTTCGCCTATAAAAGAGAAAGCAGGACGCCCCTACCAGGGAAAAAAACGAATCGGAACACAAGAGCACGACACGCGAGCACACAACTGAGTGACAATCGAGCTCTCAGCACCCGTTCACTTCTTCCACCAAGAGACTTGGGATCCTTTTCCTCTCTCGCCTGTTTGTAACCCCTACTGCAAACCAAGTGCCTGTAACACGAGCAACAGCGAACTGGACGTAGGGACATTTCACCCGAACCAGTATAAACCCTTGTGTCCTCCGAGCACACCATCCGAGCCAGACGCGCAAATACAAATTTACTTGTCGGTGGTCCGAAAACACCGACAATGATCCTTTTAGATTCTGGACTCCTCCAAAATTCAGTTTAGGCCTAGTTTGGATGTACGTGTATCCACTTTAATCCATATGTGTTGGAGTGATTGGAATGAAACTTAGTTTAGTTTCAGTTTCACTTCAACGCAAGTGGACTGAGATAATTACATATGCATCAAAACAAGATCTTAACTGTGGCCTTTTTCATGGAGATTTTGATTCTTATATGCTGGAGTATATTGCCCACAAACAATGGTTACATCTTTAACCATAGAAGCATTTCAGTTCAAGGCTGCAGAGAGATGCTATCATCAAGCATGAATTTGCACATATTATCCTTGGAGTCATCATGTAAAGAGAAGATATTTTCCTCAGATTCAATAATGGCTAGAACCTTTAGTAGATTGATTTTGTTTTTTACTCTTGTAAAGTTCTCGTTTTCTTCTTTTGCTGACTACACTCCTCTTTTGTTTCGTAAAAAGAATTGAGCTGTCAAGCTGTCGAGTAGTCTATTCCTCCCTCGTTATGCTGTTTAAATGTCTAGAACAACAATTAGGTGTACATTTACTGCAGGTTGTGTACATCTTGCCCGAGCAGTCGAGCTAGCGTGTGCTCAACTAATCCACTGTGCTGGAGATAGAGATCAGCGGCTCAACGGCAGCAACACAAGCCAGCCGTCCATTGGCTAATTGTGGCTATAAATATCAAGGTCCTCCGACCTGATCCATCCACTCTGCTTTACATCGCAGGCAGTGAGCCATCCACTGAGCCAGCCACAAAGTTAATTCTGAGCGACGACGTCAAGCACCACCACCAGCTCGAGCTCCAAGCCATGGCGAAGCGCCGCCGCTCGTCGTCCCTTCCCCTGGCCCTGCTGCCGCCGCTGCTACTTCTCGTTGCAGCCGGATCGCTCGCAGTGGCAACCGCGCTTGACAGCTCCCCGGAGTCACGTCGTGGTCGAAGCCTGCAGCAGCTGCCAACTCCGCTGCCTCAGCCTCAGCCTGTGCCGCAGCCGCAGCCGGACCCAAACCCACAGCCCCAACCAGGGCCCCTGCCGCAGCCCCTGCCGCAACCAAATCCAAACCCACAGCCGCAGCCCCTTCCGCAGCCTGATCCAAACCCACCACAGCCTCTGCCTCAACCGCAGCCCCTGCCGCAGCCCGACCCAAACCCACAGCCGCAGCCCCTTCCGCAGCCTGATCCAAACCCACCACAGCCTCTGCCTCAGCCGCAGCCCCTGCCGCAGCCCGACCCAAACCCACCACAGCCTCTGCCTCAGCCGCAGCCCCTGCCGCAGCCCGACCCAAACCCACAGCCGCAGCCCCTACCGCAGCCACAGCCAGGCCCACTCCCGCCGCAGCCTCTGCCGCAGCCTGACCCACAGACTCAGCCACAGCCCGTGCCGGTGCCAGACCCAAACGTGCAACCGGCCCCGGGGACCCAACCTGTTTCGAACCAAAATCCACAGCCGCAGGCTGCCCAGCTATCTGGAGGCCCGCAGCCACTTTCGGACGGCGGATCAAGAATGTTGAACCTGCAATACGTGAAGTACATATTTTTAGATCTTGTCGTTCTGCTACTGTAACTCTACACTATACTTTTTATTTTATTTTTATTTTCTTACGCCTGTAAAATAATATCTGGAGGAGCTGAGTAGTAGTAATGTCGTTTTTTTTCATATATTTTGCGAGAGTGTACGCGCATGCAGCGCTTTTGTATGGGTTATTAGTACTATCATTCTCATATTTTGACGTACCTTGATTTTATATGATTATATAACTATGCAGTCTGTACATATTATACATATGATTATTAGAAGGATACCTGTGTGTTGTCGCGAGACTTTTTTTAGAAATATAATTATTGCATATAAGAGTTAGATTTCCTTGTTCTTGCATCGGTTCTTATCAAAATAGGAGAATTTCCTGCATATTGCCGCACGGCATACATGTTAAATAAAGTTGATATGAATTTAGGGGCAGAGCCAGAAATTATATATAGGAGGGCCAGCAAAAAAAAACTTTGTAAAAATTGAGCTTGGCTCAACTGATTAGTTTTTTTTTTGACCATCTGGGATAATTTATCGACTTACGATTGCTCGCATTTTCTTATATGTATTCTACTCCCTCCGTTCAGGAAAACATGCAATTCTAGCACAGTGTCACATTTTAGTATCTTATTAAGTTTGATCAATTATAGATAAAAAAATATCAATATTTATGGTATCAAATAAATATCATTAGATTAATTATGAAATGTATTTTCATAATAAATTGATTTAGAGTCATAAATATAAATATTATTTACTAGAAACTTAGTCAAACGTGAACTACCTTTTCTAACACGCAACCCATAGTTGTATGTTTTTATGGACAGAGGGAATAGAATATAAGGCCCTATTCTTTCAATTGTATGTGACATGCCATTGAAGCAAGGCTCTACAGTGATTTCATAGATCTCGAGATCTACTAGTTTAGTCTCTCAGAGATGTTAGTAGAAACGATTTTTATTATCAAGATGTGTTTTGTATAACTTTATTATATACTCCCTCCATCCCATAAAAAGTGTTGCTATGAAATTCATGTTGGTCCCAAATTCGACTAGGTTTCTTGAAAATATTAGTAATATTTATATATCTAAATAAGTATATTATAAAAATATATTAAACGATCTATCTAACGATACTAATTATGTACTATAAATATAAATATTTTCTTATATACATTTGATCAAAGTTAATTTTATTGAATTCTTAGAAAAGACGAAGGGAAAAAGGTATTAATAGGTATATATAGCAATAATTTTGTTATATTCTTTCACTAACTAAAAATAAAAATTATAAGATTATATACTAATAAAAATATTTGTTGTCACATTAGGGGGGCATGGCCCTACCGCCCCTGGATGTGCCACTAGCGCCACCCAGCGTGTGGCAAAAGTCAATTGCCATTAGGCATGTAGCATAAAAAAGGATCGATGATCTAGCGGCCCCTGCCGCCCCCTGGCTGTCCCACCAGTGCCACCCAGCGTGCGTGGCAAAAGTGAATTGCCATTAGGTATGCAGCAAAAAAGGATAGATGATCGAGCTGCTTCACATCCCACACTCTTCCGCGCGCCCGCGCCATGCCCCCATCCACTTCGCCCGTCGCAGAAGGAGAGGCAGGGGAGGCCTACGCCTGCACCCCAATCCAGCGTGCCCGTCGGCAGGAAGGGGAGGCTTTTGCGCTGCGCCTAAGGCGTACGCTGGACCGTTGCTCTCGACATCCCCGGGACCCAAGCTTGCTGGCTACCGGAGTTCCCCACCAGGTAGGTTGTGGCCGCTGGCGACGCTGCATTTCAAGTGTTTCAAGCGTTCAGACTTATGTGTCAAGTGTTTCATCTGAATGTTGCAAATAGATCTTGCATGTTGCATATGTTGCAAGCCTATGTTTCAATTGTTTCATGTGTTTCAAACATATGTTTCAAGTGTTTCATCTGGATGTTGCGTGCATATGTTACTATGGCTCTATACGCATGTTTCAAGCGTATGTTTCAAGCGTTTAAGACTCATGCTGCAAGTATGTTTATCTGGATGTTACAAAAGTAGAACTCGATATTTCATATATTACTATGATTATACACGCATGTTTCAAGTGTATGTTTTAAGTGTTTCATATGTTACAGACGTATGTTGCAAGTGTTTCATCTGGATGTTTCAGAAGTAGATTTGCGAGAGCACATGTTTCATCTGCCGCAACCGGCCCTATTGCTGCTCTGGGGGCCCGTTGTGGGTCACCATGCAGGTGCCTGAGGTCGGCAGATGCCTCCGTGGTACGCATCCGTAAGCGGGACAAGTGACTAGGACCCACGTGGGGCTTGAGGATGGGCACGGGATGGGCTGCTGGAGCACGTGATGGGTGCGGGTGTGGCATATGGACGCGGGCGCACTAACGCTGGATGGGATGCGGACTCGGGTCGTGGAATGTGGTGCGGTATAACGCGTGGGAGCTACTTTCGGACACGCCGCCTGTCCGAACGCTAGCCCTTCCATCTTTTTTTCTGGAGAGAGTGAGAGATCTGATGGAAAGAGAAGCAGCACTGATACAAATCTGCCGTCGCTTTGCCCATCCCGCCTGGGACTGGGATGCCACCTGCCGACCTGCGGACGACGCCACGGCGACATTTTTTTTTCCTAAACGCGATATCCAGCAGTCAGCTGTCAATACGTGGACGTGCGTTGGACGGAGTGGGGAGGAGGAAGGCACCAGAGGTGGGGTTGTATGGGAACGCCACCGATTCCTCTCTGCAGCAGCAAGTCCCCGTGCGGCCGTGCCGGCTTCCCCAGCCCCCGTCTCTCTCTCTCCTCCGTCTCCTGCTTGACGCCTTTGCGTGCCCTGTGCATCTGAGCCGATCTATCCATCATCCGAGGCAGCCTCCAGCCTGTCTCTGCTTCTCGCGCGCGCATGCACGGTGGGAGGGAGGATAGGAATGGCGAGGGACGTCAACAGGGGCACCGACGCTGATGGCCATCCTCTGCCGCAACCGGCCCCTTCCCCATCTCTGGTGGCCACGGAGGAGGAGGGTACCGACAGGAGCAAGGCCAAGAACCTCAGGGACAGGGTATCCTTCTCGTCGTCCTCCAGAAGAGCCCGCCCTTCGTGCTGGGGAGGCATCAGGATTCGTCGGATTGGCCGGATCCAGAGCAGGAGCAGAACGGGCAGCGACGAGCATGACACGCGCGCAAGCATCGGCGGCCGTGGCCGCTGCGCCTGCGGTTGCGGCGGCAAGGCGGGCGCAGCGGTCGGGCCGAGGTCCGTCCTCCAGCGCAACGATTTCTACTGCGACGAATGCAACCCGCACAGGTAGAAGACGTTTTGATGCTGCTACTCTCCTCTCTACTTTCTGGTTGCTGCTGCTCCAGATTTTGCCCGGATGGATGTATATTTGAATTGGATTGGATCACGAGCGATTCAAAAAAAAAAAATCATGTGAATGACTCATTGAAGTGTATATCCATCTTAGGTAACCCAGTTTTTCTTTTATCCTGTGATTCCTGTCCCAGTTATGTATTTGTTGCCGGAAATTTGCGTATGTAGTAACAATGATTTAAGCAGATCAATTTGTCCTAGAACATGAATACAACTACAAAGAACTCTGCTACAGAATAAGGCTGTAAGATCTCGTAATACTGATTGGAAGAAAAATAAACAGATCCGACCTTCTAAACGCATATGTCCCAACTCCCAAGCTATATTATAACAAAGCCTTATAAAATACTCGAGTACTTTGATTACAATGTGGGCTGTTGAGACAACAAAAAGAATGTGGTTCAGTAACAAACTCCATCGAAATGGTGAGGTGAAGTCCAATCAGAATGCTGAAAGAACCTAGCAGAGGAAAGGCGGCTCCAATCTTCACACAGAGAAGCCTTACTTTTTAGCATTGTAGTTGTAGCAATGGTTTCCATCACACATCAAATCTGTGCACCCTCCTGAGGGGTAACTCCTCAACTGTAAGCTCCCTGTTACACGAAGGCTGATGATGCTGCCCCCACGAAAAAGCACAGTCCTAACGCATGGCGCTGCACCTCTCACATATATCTGTGGCAAGTGTGTCATAATCGGTGCAGCTTGAGCATACCCAGCATCCTTTCGGGCATCCTCTTGCTGCAGATGCACAGCACCCAACTCTGCGCCGACCTGTTCTGTGACCCTTGGGTAGCAGGACAGAAGAGCTCAGGAGTTTCTGAGCAAATCTCACTGGCAAGGCCATGGCCCTGCTACCACACGAGATCAGACGAGAGAGCGGGCCTGGGCCTGGTCTATTGAACGAGCCCGGGCCTAGCCTGTTCAACGACGAGCCCGGGCCTGGCCAGCCGCACAGGTAGGAGACGTTTTATGCTGCTCCTCTCCTCTCCTCTCTACTTACTGCTGCTCCAGATTTTGCCCAGATAGATGTATATTTAAATTGGATTGGATCACGAGCGATTCAAATTTTAAGTGCTTCATCATTTTTATTTTTTCATGTGAATGACTCGTTAAAGTGCATATCATCTTAGGTAACCAGTTTTTTTGTTATCCTGTCCCAGTTATGTATTTGTCGACGGAAATTTTCATATGGAGTACCAATCATTTAGGCAGATCAATTTATCCTCGAACATGAATACAACCACAAAGAAATCTGCCGCAGAATAAGGCTGTAAGATCTCGTAATAGTGATTTGAAGAAAAATAAACAGATCCGACCTTCTAAACACATATGTCCCAAACTTTCGAGCTATATTATACGACAGTGCTAGCGTCCGGACGGACGCCCGCGCCTGCACTCCATTTTGCGCGCCACGTAGGGCCCACATCGCCCCAAGCGAGAAGAGGGGGAGGGGGGCGGCGCCTCTGGTTCGGAAGGACCCAGCTGCGGCGTCGCATGGATGCCCGACGGCGGGAGGAGGACACACCGAGACGAGGCAGCAGAAGGCGAGGAGAAAAATGCAACACCCAATCTATTTTCGAAACATCCAGATGCAACACTTGCGACATACGTCTGAAGACAAATGAAACACTTGAAACATGCGTCTGAAACACTTCAAAAAACACACCTAAAAACACTTCTAAAAACACTTGAAACCATTGTAAATATACGCAATATCCAGATAAAACACTGACAAACATATGTGTGCAAATATATACAACATCTAGATAAACACACTTGCAACATATGTCTGGAAAAACAGATGGAAACATTGGGAACAGAAGCTTGCAACGTACGTGTACAACTATTGCAACATATGCAACATCCCAATCTACTTTTGTGATATCCGTATGAAACACTTGCAACATACCTATGAAACATTTAAAACACTTAAAACATACGCTTACAACATGCGCTTTCAAACGCAACATCTACTAGCTGCTTGGACGAAATGGAGGCTCGTCGACGATGAGCTCGATGCCGCGGAGTGACGAGGGGGGGATGCCAGCGGGCAGGCAGCGGCATGGTCCCGACAAGCGGCTGCGCGGCTCCAGTGATAGGATGCGGTCGCCTGCGGCGAGGCGCCCCTGCGGTGGAGGCAGCAGCTCTGCCCGCGGGGACCGTGGCAAGGCGCCCCTACGGTGGAGGCGGCAGCGCTGCCCGCGGCGAGCGCATGAGCTGTCTGCGGCGAGCGCGCTGGAGAATGTGACAGTGGGTGGGCGGCGCGGTGGAGCCGGACGCAGTTACCTTATATTATAACGAGACTGATATGAACAGATAACGAGTGACTGGTGCAAATAATCAATTCTTACAACGTGGGCTGTTGAGACAACAAAAAGAATGTGGTTCAGTAACAAACTCTATCGAAATGGAGAGGAGAAGTCTAATCAGAATGCTGAAAAAACCTAATACAGGCAAGGCGGCTCCAATCTTCACACAAAGAAGCCTTTTTAGCATTTTTCTAGCAATGTTTTGCATCACATATCAAATCTGTGCACCCTCCTGAGGCGTAACTCCTCAACTGTAAGCTCCCTATTACACGAAGCTTGGTGATGCTGCCCCCACGAAATAGCACAGTCCTCACGCATGGTACGGTGCTGCACCTCTCACATATATCAGTGGCAAGTGAGTTATAATCGGTGCAGCTTGAGCATATCCAGCATCCTTTCGGGGCATCCTCTTGCTGCAGATGCACAGCACCCCACTCTGCGCCGACCTGTAACGTGACCCTTGGGCAGCAGGACGGAGCTCACGAGTTTCTGAGCAAATCTCGCTGGCAAGGCCATGGCCCTGGTACCACACGAGATCAGACGAGAGACCGGGCCTGGGCCTGGCCTGTTGAACGAGCCCGGGCCTGGCCTGTTCCTGTTGAACGAGCCCTTGAGCCGAAGGTAGACATGTCCAGCTAGTATACCACCAAGATGGCCAACAAAGGAAGAATCGGGGATCAAAGCTTCAGTGAGGAATAGTTGGGCCCAAACAGCATCCTTTGCTGGAATAACCATCCCAGCCAGATGCAAGAAATCACCCGGCCGGGCAGACATCGTCACGGCCTTCATGCCAAACAGCACACCGGAGAACCCAATACAAAACTCGTCATAGTACGGAGCGCCGTCACCGAGCAAAGACAAGCCTTTGGACAAGAGCAGCATGGCACCCTGTGACAGGCCAAGCAGTGCAGCAACCATGGAAGCGAACTCGGCAGTGCCCATGGACGTTTCAAGCTCTACGCCCGTCCACAGCAGAATTGTCATGTTGCAGAACAAGTGAACTTCGTTCACGTGGTACAAAGGTGACAGGAAAAAGGTCTTCAAGTCTCTGAACTACAAAGGGTGTTCACGTAATGCGTCAGGACATCCACGGTATGTGTGACTATAGAAGACTGTATAAAAGGCTAAAAACATGGGAAGTATTCCAAGGCAAGTTTATGCCCAACGTCATCGAAGTCTACACAATGGTCAAGTACTTCAAGGCAAATTTACTGAACAAGATGATCACTATAGGTTCTTAAACTTTTTCCCACATCTCATCTAGGTCCATAACCCTCAAAGTGATTATCTGGTGAAGAACCAGATGATCACTTTGAGAATTCACAGACCCAAAGAAAATGTATGAAAAGTTTAAAGACCCAACAAAGGGAAAACGAACTTGAAGTCTTGAATCCACTAGTCCTATTAAAAGATGGAAGTACCTAGTTCCAGTAACCATCCCATTCGATTTACACCAACTGCAACGGGACTATTAACAACAAATCAGTATCGTGCACTACTCAGGCAGGCCTAATACGATAAACCTTGGGTAAACCCTCGGTTCAACTTGCCAAGAACCCCGATTGCAAAACACAATGGTGAAGTTGCATCACATTGATGGAAATTGCGGGGTTGTGAATTACGATGTTCGTAGTGCAATTCTCTAGCACATATAGAGGAAATTTTCATGTGCTAGAGAATCCTCAGGAAAGTGGCATGTATGTAGTTTGCGCTCGGCAGAGGCGTGGGTGCGTACCTTGAAGAAGATGTTCGGATTCAGGGCGACGTAGGCTTTCTTCGGCAGGGCGCCGTGGTGGGCGGCCGGGCGGAGCCCGCGCGGCCATACTCGAGCAGCACTTGCAGCCCCAGCAGGGGCAGCATGCCCTTCGACGGATCCAGGACGAAGCCGCGCGGGCGGCGCCGGTAACTGCTCATGCCGGACCCCATCTACGAAACCAAAAGAGCCTTCACGCAAACTTCTCTCACCTCTATATCTACAGCTCTACTCTCTTATTATCGCTATGCGGCACCAGACTCCGTATTTCTGGATTCGTTTCGGAATTATTGGCTTCCGTCGTGTCTGGATGTAGTTGTATAGATATTCCTTAACCAACTTGTATGGGATTGGCTAGTGCACGACGCCCGCGCCACTACCCTCCGTCCTGTGCCTACCCTCCCATATCTCACCTGCTGCGCTCGCCCGTAAGCACGTAGGGCCCACCTCTATCCGTGCTCGTTTCTCGTGCCTGCACCGAGGCGAGATAGCAGAAAGATAAGAAGAAAGATGCAGCACCTCATCTAGTTTTGAAACACCCAATGCAACAATTGCAATAAATACGTATGAAAACAAATGAAACATGCGTATGAAACACTTACAAAAACACCTGAAATCATCGCAAACATACGCAACATTTAGATAAAACAGATGTGTGAAAATATAACATCCAGATAAACACACTTGCAACATACGTAAAAAAAACAGATGAAACATTTAGAATAGGAGCTTGCAACATACGTGTACAACCATTGCAACATATCATATGTACCATCCCGATCTACTTTTGCAACATCCGTATGAAACACTTGTAACTCTTGCAACATACGCTTTAAATGCAATACCTCCTTGTTGCTCAGGAGAATGGAGGCTCGTTGGTGTGTGGTGTTCACAGAAGCGCCGTGTGGAGAGCGAAGCCGACGGCTCGTCCAGCGTCGCGTGCTTTCGAGAAGGCTGGTGGCTACACTCATGCGCGACCAACCACTCGCTATTGAGCACGCAGCCCTACACCGCCTAGTAGAGCGGCCCGCCGCCAAGCGGAGCGCGCCGCCGGCGGGGAGCGACGAGATCGCCACCAGTGCCACGTAGAGGAGCGCGGCACAACGGAGAGGTCGCGTAGGAGGTAGGACGAGGACCTGAGCACAGAGCGCCGGAAGCAGTGCGGCGGGATAGCTCGCCTGATGTTGGCGCCAGGAGGTAGTAGGCGAACGGATAAGAGTATGGATGAAAACGGTACGGATATTTATTCGACCGTCCGTTCGACCGAACAAATATGAACACTTATCTGGATAGTTACTCGGATATCCGTTTTTTTTCGGATACGGATACTGAAACGGATATCTTAGGCAGATATCAAATACGGATGTAATATCATCGATATCCGGCGGATATCGGATAATCCGGATAAGTATCGGATATATCCGGATATTTAAAAACGGATATTATCCGGATATTTATTCAAAATTTAAAAATCACAAATTTGAACCATCCAAACTATCTCAAATGGAAAGTTGACCAAAACAATAATTGTAGATCTTGATGAGTTGAACAAACTTGGTATTCAAAACTTTTCAATTTGAAGTCATTTAGAGTTCATAATACTATAGTCAAAGTGTTGTTTTTTCATTTGACCAAATTTGACTTGGTCAAACTTGCTCAAATGAGACACTAAATGACCTCAGATGAAAAAACTCTGAATACCAAGTTTGATCATCTCAGCAAGATCTACAATTGTTACATAGTTCATTTTCTCATTTGAGAAAGTTTTATGAAACACTAGTCATAAATTCTTGAATCTCATATAGACTTTCTGAAACTATGTCACACACTTGTGAAATTTGAACTATATTTTATTCAAACTTTCTTAAATGAAAAAATGTCCTATATAAGGATTGTATATCTTGATGAGATGAAAAAATTTGGTATTCAAAACTTTTCAATTTGAGACAATCTAGGGTTCCGAAAACTAGTTTGTAAATGTCGAAATTTAAAAATCACAAATTTGAACCGTCCAACCTATCTCAAATGGAAAGTTGACCAAAACAAAAATTGTAGATCTTGATGAGTTGAACAAACTTGGTATTCAAAACTTTTCAATTTGAAGTCATTTAGAGTTCATAATACTAGAGTCAAAGTGTTGTTTTTTCATTTGACCAAATTTGACTTGGTCAAACTTGCTCAAATGAGACACTAAATGACCTCAGATGAAAAAACTCTGAATACCAAGTTTGATCATCTCAGCAAGATATACAATTGTTACATAGCTCATTTTCCCATTTGAGAAAGTTTTATCAAACACTAGTCACAAATTCTTGAATCTCATATAGACTTTTCTGAAACTATGTCACACACTTGTGAAATTTGAACTACATTTTGTTCAAACTTTCTCAAATGAAAAAATAGCATATATAAGGATTGTATATCTTGATGAGCTGAACAAACTTGGTATTCAAAACTTTTCAATTTGAGACAATCTAGGGTTCCGAAAACTAGTTTGTAAGCATCGAAATTTAAAAATCACAAATTTGAACCATCCAAACTATCTCAAATGGAAAGTTGACCAAAACAAGAATTGTAGATCTTGATGATTTGAACAAACTTGGTATTCAAAACTTTTCAATTTGAAGTCATTTAGAGTTCATAATACTAGAGTCAAAGTGTTGTTTGTTCATTTGACCAAATTTGACTTGGTCAAACTTGCTCAAATGAGACACTAAATGACCTCAGATGAAAAAACTCTGAATACCAAGTTTGATCATCTCAGCAAGATATACAATTGTTACATAGCCCATTTTCCCATTTGAGAAAGTTTTATCAAACACTAGTCACAAATTCTTAAATCTCATACAGACTTTCTAAAACTATGTCACACACTTGTGAAATTTGAACTACATTTTGTTCAAACTTTCTCAAAATGAAAAAATGGCCTATATAAGGATTGTAGATCTTGAATCCATGACCATGACTCCATGAGACCCATGAAGCAATGTGCTTGGCTATTTCTACTCATGCCGCGAAGATTGGTGCTTATATGATGTTTGATGTATGATGTATCTGTATCTTTATCTTATTTGTTGCTTTACTCTTTAGTCTTTTGGCTTAATCTAGATGGATTATGGACTCATAGAGTGGTGTAATGGTATGCGCACGTATGATATATATATATATATATATATATATATATATATATATATATATATATATATATATGCTGCTTTTACTCAATATCCGAATAGATATTTGTATCCGACCTTCTCCGAATCCGATTCATACCGTATTCGATACTCATTATTCGTATCCGTAACCGAGTCAATCCGTATTCGTATATGTATCCGAACGCTATCCGTGTCCGAATCCGAATCCGAACAGAAATATGAAAATAAATATAATATGAGTGATATCCGTTCGTATCCGATCCGTTTTCATCCCTAGATAAGAGCAATGAAGGGAATAAGTGGATGAGTTTTTTTTTAACGAAGGAGCATGCGTTGTTAAGCTAGCGTGCGGCCCATCATCGTAGTGTCCGGCGGATGGACCCGCTTCTGAGAATTACCGAACCTGTATTGGGTTTGGGTGGATTGAGGTAGAAACTTAATTAATTTATATCCAAACTTATATGAATTATATAGATGAATATGCGTATATCCGAGCAATATCTCAACTGGTTTTGAAATTTGACATCCCTCTTTCCGCCCTTGTTTAGTTGGAGAAATTTGGATTTTAGGGCTACTGTAACACGTTTGTTTTTATTTGGCAAATAGTGTTCAAATATGGACTAATTAGGCTCAAAACGTTCGTCTCGCAATTTCCCACCAAACTGTGCAATTAGTTTTTCTTTTCGTCTACATTTAATGCTCTCACGCACGATGCATGGTAGGCACGACGCGATCCTCTGCAAGCGCGTCCGCGGATGCGGGGTGGATCGCGGGCAGTAGCACATCACTCCACGTGTGCGCCCACAGTTCGCTCCTTCGTGCCAGTCTTTTTTTTTTCGTTTTAGAGAAGTTATTAAAGTGTGCTATGATACCCAACTTTGCACTGCCAAATGTGGCCAATCTTTTTTTTTTGAGAAAAATATGGCCAATCTGAAATCTGATCGGCAGTTGCTACTAAAATATGTCATTGTGCCTACCTTATTACAGTCTTTTGTTTTCTAAAACATGATTTTCTGTTTATTAATCAAATCGAA